GGGTTTGTGTCCTGTACTCTCGCCTACATTTTTCGGTTAATCTGTTAAGGTCTTCAAAGAATCTTCAAAGGTCAAAAAAAATTTTCAAAGGTCAGCTGTGGCCAAAGCATTAGCATAGATAGAAAAAGGACGTTATTAAATATTAAAAGTTTAGGATTTCGACTAGATCTCATTTGGCTAACTACGAATGACTTTCGTTCTTCAATCGGATCTGAGATCCTCAATAGAAATAGAAATAATCTTTATTCAAATGAACTCATTACAAGTATTTTTGAATAGTCATATTTTGATTCTACCACTCATTCGGAATGCAGAGTCATCACAAGAAGAATGAGCAAGAAACTTGTGTGTTGCTCTTTTGAATAAATGTTGTTTTTAAATAAATAATTACACAATAACAAGAGGCATGCAATAAACAACATATAAACCTCTACACGCTTAATCACCAGAAGAATGAGCAAGAAACTTGTGTGTTGCTTTTTTGATTAAATGTTGTTTTTAAATAAATAATTTCACAATAACAAGTCAGGGGCATGCGATAAACAACATAGAAATCTCTACACACTTATTCTTATTGTCAGCGCTAAGTATTTTAAGTTTTTTCCACAAAAACATTACTATCATTTACAAACTCTTCAATTTCATTTTCTTATTAATTGAAACTGTTTAATATGATATTTGAATCTTTTTCAGGCATATTTAGAACAGACTCTGGTAGTTTGTTGTAAAACCTTACGCAATTACCATACAACGAAATACTTTAGTTAAACGGCATTTAGGTAAAATCAGTTTGTTATTGTTACGTACACAGTGATGGCTGACTCATCCGTCATACTCGTGAACGGGTGTTGCTTGTAGGGACTGGTTTGCTCTAATCACTATGATTGATTTCCTCTTATTAATTGTTTAACCAGTTGGTACTTAATACTTTTTCTATTTGAGTATTTAATTGAATTAGTGCTAATTGGTAGTTTGTATTCACATACTTAAACTCAAAAATGTAAAGTAAGAATAAAATTATTTAAAAAGTGTTAAACGTGTTTGCGTGTTGCTGTTTTAAATAATTTTATTCTTCTCCACAGATAAGAAAGTAGAGGAGACAGATTATGAAATAACATTTCCTGATATACAGATTTCACAATTGCACGCGTAGTTTTTATTAAACTGTGATATCCCAAAAAGTATAATTAGCTTCATATTTGTTGAGGACCGAAAGAGTTCCCAACCGACGCACATCGTTAATATGTAAATTTACAAATCCCGATACGGCAGTAAAATATTAAACAATTTTGACCACAGTCTAAAAAACGGAGAACAAATATCTGCATCGTAGGAGAAGTGTGCAAACATTTCGTATTGTTGTAATATAAACTGTGACACGGTACAAAAACACGTTTACACCTAAAAAGATTGAATTTAATGAAGTATATGCAAATATGGTTTGTAATTATGTTCGGGTGGAGTCTGATGCATATATTTGTACATAATTTTGAGACAACAATGTAATTAATGATTACAATGTTAATTAAATATTTATAATTAGTCTTTTCAAATAATTTCGTAAGGGAAGAGGGTTCAATTCGGCTGTTGGTGTTTGTTTTGTGTTATTATATGCTAGTCACTAACCGTGACATCGTCCGCGTGGAATTTATGAAATATTTTTTCTGAAATAAAAGGTGCCTAAGTTACACCACCTTATAACACACCTTATAACATTAGCTGCAATTGAAAGTTCTGTCAAAATAGGTTCACAATTTGCAAGAATAAACAGACATAAAAATTTCTAAAATTAATTTTTTGATGTAGACAGACACGAAATGTATATTATATTTAGATTATAAGTAATATTATTTTTTTTTTTATTATACACTACTAGTACCTGCGACTTCGTCTGCGTAGAATTTCACTTTATTTTTCTAAAATAAAAGTACCCTAAGTTACTGCTTATTACATGAGCTACCTGCCAAAGAAAGTCCCGTCGAAGTCGGTCCAGCCATTTCAGAGATTAGCCGGAACAAACAGACAGACAGACAGACAAAAATCATAAAAAATATTATTTTGGTTATATGTATTCATATTCATAAGCATGTAAGTAGTAAAAAGCGATTATTTCAATATTACAAAAAGACTCTAATTTTATTTATATGTATAGATGTATAGATTATAATACTATTAATGTTGCCAACAAAAACAACTGCAAAAAGCCTTTAATTGCATGCAAAACCGGGGCGCGTCGCAAGTCTTGAGAAATTTAAAAGCGTATAAGATACAACAGTAAATACGATTCCGTTTGAAATACGAAACATAGTCAACGCAGTGAATTTGTTTCCTGTAGAGGCGGCTGCCTCCTGTAATAAGTCCTGCGTCCTCTTTGATGTCCCCTGAAAGCCATTTTCCCTTTTGCTAATGGATGCATATAATTCCTATTAGATTGGGGACTTTAATAAATTCGCGAACTTGAAGTTACTTGCGAATATTAAGAAATAAATATTTTTTCGGAAGAATGAGTTCATTACTGAAAATAATAAAATTTCAGGACAATTTACACAGCGCCGTCTAGTGTCAAGCTAAGTAGAGCTTGTGTTATGGGTACTAGACAACTGATATAAATACATAAATGATTATTTTTTGTAAATATTTACACTATATATATATATATAGAAAGAAAGAAAGAAAGAAAGAAAGAAAGACAGAGAGAGAGAGAGAGAGAGAGAGAGAGAGAGAGAGAGAGAGAGAGAGAGAGAGAGAGAGAGAGAGAGAGAGAGAGAAAGAAAGAAAGAAAGAAAGAAAGAAAGAAAGAAAGAAAGAAAGAAAGAAAGAAAAATATTTTATTCAGTGTATATGTTTACCGAAAACACCCAGATCGATACAAACAATTATATTCATGAATATTGATGTTTGTACCGCGCGAGGGAACGAACCCGCGACCATCTGAAGTAAAGCGGTATGCTAAATAGTAGACCATCGTGGTCGTCACATTTCATGAAATAAAAATTAATAATAATAAATATTATTATTAAAATTTAAAAAAATCTTAAAGGATTTTTCAGGCACGTCATAATTTTTTATAATCCCTACCGAAGAACGTAGATGAATCTTGAGAAGAACTGATAAGGAATTCTACTGGGACGTTTTTTTATATAGTGACCGATATTTAACAACGTATTCTAAAAAAAATTAATCTAAGTGAAATCTAAATACTTACAGATTATACAATAATCTACATATGTATATGTAACTCAAAGGTGACTGACATAGTGATCTATCAACGCACAGCCCAAACCACTGGACGGATCGGGCTGAAATTTGGCATGCAGGCAGATGTTATGACGTAGGCATTCGCTAAGAAAGGATTTTGATTAATTCTACCCCCAAGGGGATAAAATAGGGGATGAAAGTTTGTATGAAACTTTGTCAATTTTAAACCGATCGGGCTGAGACTTTGCATGCATAAAGCTACTATGACGTAGGCATTCCCTAAGAAAGGATTTTGATAAATTCCCTTAGGGGATAAATTAACGCGAGCGCAGCCGCGGACAAAAGCTAGTTTTATATGCGGTCGAAGTGGGAGTGAGAGGTATACCAGCGAAATCTCTCTAGAATCTTCCAAAAGAAAAGATCTTGGCCTGTCTAGAACTGCAGCCCCTCCGATCGATCCCCCGTCCAATTCAACGGGGATCGATGTTACGACGGCCTGAGCCGAGATTCGTACCCCTAGTGGTGCCCTCAGACTAAAGTTGTATCCGTCAGACAGGACTTGGCCTTCTACCGCTCCATAAGTCTTTCCGCGGGTTTGGAGTGCCATCTGCACTCGCCCCCTATCGTCCGGTGAAGCTGTAAAGGCCAGCTGCGGCCAGTATTAGAGTAGTCTGAAAAAAAAATAGAACTGTAGGAAGTTCTATACTAGAACCTGTATCTAAAGCTTGGAAACTACTCGGAGTTTCTGAGTAAATAAGTTCTATAACTAATTTTTATATCCTTAGGTGCTAAGGGTGGCTCGCTCTAAAAAAATTATTTAAATTTTTATTTTTTATGTGGCATTATTAAACACAAACAACCCGAAATTTTCAAACTTCTATCAGCAACTCCTATTTTTTAATAGCGATATTAATTTACATGGCAAACGTTTGCGGGTCTCAAAAAAAAATTTTTTTTAATATTTTTATTATGTGGCATTAATAAATACATACAACCCTAAATTTTCACCCTTCTATCACCAACACCAATGCAATTATTAATAGAAATATTAATTTATATGGCAAAACAACTTTTGCTCGGTCAGCTAGTATATATATAGAGGTACAGGGTCGTTAATCATGAAAATGTAACATATACACGTATATGTATATTAGTGCTATATTAATTATCAATTATTAACACCCCGCCCGATGTTACAAGCCGGAATGGAATTCCAAACTTCACCCGGGCCTGTTTGCGATATCAATGTACTTAACTGTGAATCATGCTCGGAATTGTAATGCTATCATTCTGCATTGGCATATTATGAAAATCATCATCATTACATAGTATAAAACAAAGTCGCTGTCGCTGTCTGTCCGTCCCTGTATATGCTGAAATCTTTAAAACTACGCAACGGATTTTGAAGCGGTTTTTTTTAATAGATTGAGTGATTCAAGTGGAAGGTTTATATATATAATACATGTACACCCGTGTGAATCCGGGACTAGTAGGTTGTAGGCGACGCACTACGTTATCATTTTTTTTATAAAATTAAATTTATTATTATATGTACGTATATATGCATAAATGTACACGATACGTTCGTCATTTTTTAATAAATATATATGAGGGTGCGCACAATATAATTAATATAAATCTACCCGTTTTCTACACAATATTGTAGTCGGATTCAGACGATCGCGGTGACGCTCGGTGTCACATATAAAATAAGTGCGTGCTCTCAGTTTGCGAAAATAAGTCGGTGTTTTAGTTCCATCCTTTACAAAGCTGATCCTTCTCGCCAAATCTGAACCAGAATAATGTTCAATACACCGCCGCGCGATAAAATAATATCGTACAAAGAACGCCATAGACTGACCGATAGGTTAGAATGTGCTTCGGAGCATGTGCTCGCTAAAGACACCGCCGCTGTAATTCCGCCGCGTAGCACGGTACGGAGTAATATATCGCTACGTGGAGAAAAGGAGCTCTTCATGCAGCAAAATATGTCATCGCAACGTCCTCTACGGGATCCGTCAGTTACGTCATCAAAGGCGTCAGAGATCAAACGAAAACAGTTGGAACTGGAGGCTGCCCGTGCAAAGGCAAAAATTCAACTGGATTTGATTGATAAGGAGCTGGAAGCTAACCTGGCCATCATCACGGATGGCAGCAGAAGGTCCATTCACTCTTCTAAGCACGCTTCCGTATATGACCCACATATTAATTCCCATGTTGAAGACTGGCTAGAACAGAGTAATGTACAACCGCCGTGTAACGCTGATCAGGAGTTGAACACGGCACCGATGATGCAAGCAGTGCCGGCAACCGATTGTCCACAACATAGCCGCCCTGCACCAGTCAATGGAGAAGATAGTATTCTGCAGCTAGCACACACCCTGAAGGATATGATGGTGAACTCATCATCACACCAGGATGAGCGCTTACTAACCCGTCTCGCCACACCGAGGGAATTACCCACTTATTTTGGCGATTGCATGGAGTGGTTACATTTTAAAAGTGCATACATGGAGTCCACTCGCGTGTGTCAGTTTAGTGATTCGGAGAACCTGTGGAGGTTACGCCGTGCACTAAGAGGTGATGCTAAGGAGGCAGTCACCGATCTGTTAATCGGAAACACGTCACCCGGCGACATCATATCTGCGCTGGAACTGAGGTTTGGCCGTTCCGATATTATTATTCACCATGTAACTACACAGATAAAAAAGTTACCATCTTTACCTACTCATTATCAACAAGATATAGTTAATTTTTCAATAAAAATTAATAATTGCATTGCTACACTCAACGCAATGAATCTGCATGATTATTTACGCAGCCCAGAGCTCGCGTCAGCAATATCATCGAAATTACCAAGTATATTAATTAGTAAATTCACTGATTATGCATTTGATCGCTTGACAGATGATACACCAAAACTAATGTTATATGCATCTTTTTTAAAACGTGAGGCTGAAATGACGTCGGCTCTCGGTCTATCACAGCCGCGAGAACAAAAGAAACCCGACATGCCTACAATAAATAACAAGCGAACAGATGATCGCTACCGCTACAACTATAATAAACAAGTATTTACAACTACAACTATTAATGAATCAAAATTATGTAGATTTTGCAACAAATCACAACACTTATTGCCAGATTGTCGATTATTTCGAAGAGCTATGCGTAAGGATCGATGGAATTTTGTTAAAAATAACAAGCTATGTTATTGTTGTTTATTGGCGCGACACGATCGTATGTCATGCGCTGCACCTGTATGTAACATAGACGACTGTGGGCTGGCGCATCACACATTGTTGCATTACAGAAAGCCCATCCATACAGACACACAGCCCGTGACCACTATGGCGACATCATCACAACATGAATCATCGAGTACCGACGCGACTGTAGCCTATGTGAACTCCGCTACCGACGGGACTGCGCCCGGGCTACCGGGGCGCGGTCGCTCCCCCACAGTGACGTCATGTGATGTGATACTCAAAGTAGTTAAAGTGAAGTTAAGTGGACCCAACGGTACAGTGAGTACTTATGCCTTATTAGATGACGGTGCTTCGATATCGATGATCGATTCCGGCTTAGTAAATGAACTTGGTCTTAAAAGTTTAAGTTCTAGTTCTATTAAATTAATTGATGCTTTTGGTTTAGAAGTATACCAGTCTGATGCTCCTAAAGTCTGTTTAAATATTTCTGGCTATGATAATTGTAACTATAATAAGTGTAACTATAATATAACTTTACGTAATGTATCTAAACTAAAATTACCTATGCAAAATTTGTCTGTAATAAATAATATTCACTGTGATTATTTATCATCTGTAAAACAATTTGTATGTACTGAGAACGTGGTGCCTCGTCTGTTAATAGGTGAAGATAATTATTTTCTTTTAGCGCCGTTAGAAATATTACACGGTAATAAATATGAACCCTATGCAACGCGTTGTCGCTTAGGCTGGTCGATACATGGTAGTTATGGTCGCACGAACTCATCACTCACACAGGGGCACAGTTTCCACGTTACACACAACGACGAGGTAAGTGAAATTACTATATTAAACAACTTAGTTAAAAATTCATTTGAACTGGACTGCATAGGAATATCAACCTTACGCCGTGAGAATACGGCCGATTTAAGAGCGGTTAATATATTAGATCAGACCGCGCGAAACATAGGTAACAGGTGGGAGGTCGGACTGCCATTCATTAAGGATGTTTTATGTATACCTGATAGTTACAACTATGCACTATCACGCTTGAACGGGTTAATGAGAAAATTTAAGTCGGACAGCGCGTACGCTGATAGGTATAAAACAGAGATGCACAAGTTGTTTGATAATGGTTATGCTCGAGTTTTAAAGGAAAATGAACTTGTAGGTAATCGTATATGGTATCTCTGTCATTTTGGCGTGCTAAATCCGAACAAACCCAGTAAGCTGAGGTTAGTGTTTGACGGTGCCGGTAAGGTCAACGGCTTGTGTTTAAATGACTTCTTACTTACTGGACCCGATTTGTATAACTCATTACTAGGTATTATGTTGCGATTCCGCGAACATAAATATGTTATAGTAGGCGATATAAAGGACATGTTTTTACGTATACGTATTAGAGCTGAAGATCAACACTTATTTAGGTTTTTATGGCGGGAAGACGACAAGTCCCCGTTAAAAATATGTGTCATGCAAAGTTTAGTTTTTGGTGCAACTTGTTCTCCATTCATTGCGCAACATATAAAAAATAAAAATGCGCTTAAATATGAGGATTTGTATCCGGAAGCGGTAGATGTTATTATTAACAATCATTACATGGATGACTGTTTGTACTCGTGTGACAGCGAAGAAAAAGCAATTAAATTAGTTCGTGAAATTACGGAAATACATAGTTACGGCGGATTCGAGATAGGCCGCTGGTCGAGTAATAGCAAACCGGTTTTAAACACAATACCGCATCGAGCGCTCACTCAGTCTGCTGTTGATTTTAAACACGGAGCTAATAATACAACTGAGCGCACTCTCGGTTTGATGTGGTATCCTAATGACGATGCATTTGCTTTTAAAATATCATTCAACCGTATTCCGCAAAACATAATAAATGGCACGGAGCCACCTACGAAATCTCAAATGCTTAGTATATTAATGTCTGTTTATGATATTCATGGTTTTCTTGCTCCTTGTATAATTAAAGGTAAAATATTATTTCAAAGTGTACATCGTAGTGGTGTCGACTGGAAATGCCACATCCAACCAACAGAGTTTGTTCAGTTTACTAGTTGGTTATGTGAACTAAAGAAGTTAGATTCTTTACGTATACCTAGGTGTTATATTAATGGTAATGAGTGGACTTTTTGCTATAATGAATTACCGAATATTACATGTATTAATAATAATTTTGTAGACATACAACTCCACACTTTTTGTGATGCTTCAACAAAGGCATACGCTGCCGTATCTTATTGGCGATTGATTCGGTCGGATTGTTGTGTTCAAGTTAGTTTCGTTGGTAGTAAAAGCAGAGTGAGTCCACTCCGTCCTATTTCAATACCGAGGCTTGAATTACAGGGAGCGGTAATAGCCGCCCGCCTTGCAAATATTATTGAGACCGATCATAAGGATTTTAAACCAGCAAAGCGTTACTTTTGGACAGATTCTAGTACGGTTTTACAATGGATCCGTAGCGATCCGCGTAATTATAAACCTTTTGTCGCTCATCGACTCGGTGAGATAGATGAGCTGACGAAAAACTGTGAGTGGCGTCATGTGCCGTCTGATGCTAACGTAGCCGATGTAGCTACACGACATGATGCATCACCACTGTCATACTCAGACCCGTGGTTCCAGGGTCCTGCCTTTCTACGGCGACCTGAGAGTGAGTGGCCTAAAGATCGTAAGTTCTCCAAGACATCGCAAGATGTGACTTGTGAAGAACGATCAATTAATGTGGTTATGTACAGTTCAGAATTATCTTTGCCTAGCGAAGATAATATCTCGAATTGGATCACATTAGTGCGAGCCACCGCCCGCGTGTTATTATTTATTAACAAATGTCGGCGTAAAAACATTCAGTTTGATGTTTCTTTAATGAAAAGAGCTGAAATTTTATTAATTAAAAAATGTCAGCAGGACAGTTTCTCTGTTGAAATATCTTGTTTACAACAGAATAAACCTATAATGCGTAATAGTAGATTATTAAAACTTAGTCCTTATCTCGATGAGACAGGAGTACTGCGTGTCGGTGGTCGCATCGATAGAGTGGCAGGAGTAGAACTGTCTACGTTGAGACCTGCAATACTTGATGGCGGACATAGAATTACTCGGCTCCTGGTCTACCACCACCATAAAGAAGCTATGCATGGTTCTAACGAACTCGTTGTAAACCAGTTACGACAACAGTACTGGATACTTAAATTGAGACCAACAGTTCGTACTGTGTCTACCCAGTGCCTCACCTGTCGGTCACGTCGCGCCGCACCGCAGCCTCAGCGGATGGCTGATTTGCCAGCGGCGAGACTACAACATAATAGGAGGCCGTTTAGTTACACTGGCGTTGATTTTTTTGGACCTATAGAAGTCACTGTCGGTCGCAGGAGGCAGAAGAGATATTGCATGCTCTTCACATGCTTGACAGTACGTGCAATTCACATGGAATTGACTGAAGATCTGTCCAGTGATTCAGCAATAATGGCTTTACGTCGTATGGGAGCCCGGCGGGGTTTACCTCTAGTTATCTACTCAGATAACGGAACTAATTTAAGGGGCGCCGACTCTGAACTTAAACGTAGTATTGCAGAATTAAATACTAAATTGTTATGTGATGATGGCACAATACGAGGTGTTGAATGGCGTTTCATTCCCCCAGGCGCTCCAGAAATGGGAGGCGCTTGGGAGCGAATGATACGTACTGTTAAGACAGCGCTTAAAGTAACTCTCAAAGAGAGAGCCCCTCATCCTGACACACTAGCCACTATCTTAACAGAGGTTGAGGCTTTGGTTAACAGTCGACCTATAACACACGTCTCTCTGGATCCCGACTATCCAGAGGCTTTAACCCCAAATCATTTTTTAATTGGTACGCCATCCAGCGGTCCCACTTATGGACTTTTCAATGATTCTGACCTTTGTTTACGAAAGCGTTGGCGTATAGCGCAACGTATTACGGATATGTTCTGGAGTCGTTGGATAAAGGAATATCTGCCTACGTTACTACCTCGACAAAAATGGATGGAGGAGTCGAGATCATTACAGGTAGGTGATTACGTAGTAGTAGTGGACCCTAAACTGGATCGTGGATGCTGGCGTCATGGAGTGGTCAGCTCAAGTCATACAGGTGAGGACGGCCGCGTACGCGTCGTAGACGTACGCACCCGGGCGGGACTACTGCGTCGACCAGTCACTCGCGTCGCCTTGCTATCACCAGCTAGTGTTAGTAGTGCTAACTAGTTAGCACTAAGGAGGCAGAATTGTAGGCGACGCACTACGTTATCATTTTTTTTATAAAATTAAATTTATTATTATATGTACGTATATATGCATAAATGTACACGATACGTTCGTCATTTTTTAATAAATATATATGAGGGTGCGCACAATATAATTAATATAAATCTACCCGTTTTCTACACAATATTGTAGTCGGATTCAGACGATCGCGGTGACGCTCGGTGTCACATATAAAATAAGTGCGTGCTCTCAGTTTGCGAAAATAAGTCGGTGTTTTAGTTCCATCCTTTACAAGGTAGTATAATATAAAACTACCCATATCAGGCGTGTTGTATTATTGTGCCACATTAATTAACAGTGGACAGTATAGGAAGAATGAACGAATGCATATGAATTATTTATTTCTCTTCTTATTTCGTATTTACGAAAATATATTATAAAAAAAACATGCACACACAAACTTATATACACTAACAAATACACACACGCACATTATAAAATATATAATTTTTGTTTTTATTATTATCGTCTTTATTCATATATTACCAATATTACTATTATATAAGTAAAGTAAACAGGTAAAACATAGTCTGCGATACAAGCTACGCTTAGTGCAGAGATCGTTGTAAATAAACACAACTAATTCATTAGTTATTTGTCTTAAGTTAAGTTAAGTTAAGATCTATGTTCGTAAAGTTGTGTCTCATATGAAATGTTTATATTGAAATAAATATTATCTAAATATAACTCAAAGGTGACTGACTGACATAGTGATCTATCAACGCACAGCCTAAACCACTGGACGGATCGGGCTGAAATTTGGCATGCAGGTAGATGTTATGACGTAGGCATCTGCTAAGAAAGGATTTTGATGGATCTACCCCCAAAGGGATAAAATAGGGGATGAAAGTTTGTATGAAACTTTGTCAATTTTAAACCGATCGGACTGAGACTTTGCATGCATAAAGCTGCTATGACGTAGGCATCCCCTAAGAAAGGAGATTTTCATAAATTCCACTCTTAAGGGGATAAATTGACACGAGCGAAGCCGCGGGCAAAAGCTAGTTATTATATAAACGCTAAATTATTATAATCTCTAATAGCCTTAACTTGCTCTGACGCTACAGGCACAGTCTAGTGTGGAGTCATAGATATAATGTTAAAATGAAGTTAAGTTTTCCGAAATAAAAGTTATTCTATTTCTAAAAAATATATAAAAATATCGCAATGAACTCATGACGGGTGCAATTCAATATTATGTGCCACAATAAATCTCAGTGAGCAGTAATGGAAGAATGAATGAAAACGTATGAGTTTTTTAATTCTTTATTTCTTTTCTAATTTGTCCCTTCACTATATAGTAATTGATATGGTAAGAAAGGAAGTAAATAACGCGATGACTGCAAACAGGGATGAATGGAAGAGAAAAACATATTACGCCGACCACAAATAAATAGGATAAGGAAGAAGCAGATGATGATGACTATATATTAATTGAAATCTTAAAATTCTTGATATTCAAATTTATTATAATCATATCTTGACATGTAATTGAAATATGAATAAAATATGGATGGATATCCGAAATAAATGAATAAATAAAAATATGAAATTTTTAATCATATCACTATGGGGGAAAGGGCATTATAACCCCATGGCTAGCAATGTACCATGTCAGGTCGACCTCCACGCGGTTCCCCCTGGAAACCATCGTGATAAATTCCTTGTGAATTTGTCACGATGGGCTAACTGACCTCACCTCATGCTCATCTTATCATCCTCCACTGGTGCCCCGTCAGCGTAAACCGTTAGCGCAGGCGGGTGCACCATTCCATTATCATCCACAAAAAAAAATCATATCACTATGTTATGTTCATTAATTTTGTTCACATTTAGTATTTAGTTGGTCTTGTAAATAATCTTTAATTAATTGAACATGTTTCAAAAACAAATGAATTTTGATATTTATAATTTTTTACAATATATTGTGAAAATTCATACTCTTTTATATGTGCAATGTTATTAAAGATGAGAATACTTTAATTATCTCAATTTGTTTTGTTAATTAATATGAGTATTCTTGAATAGTTACTATTTGGAGCTATTCAATCATTTTTAGTAATTATCTATATAAAATTTGAAACATATAAAGTTGTATAACTTTTTGTAAAGAGTCCTAATTAAGTTTCTTGAATAGTAAACTTTCCTTAATCCACATTGGAAACGTGAAAAGGGGCAATTTATGAAAAGCCTAATGTAAAATTGTAAGGTATTGCAAAACATGGTGGAAGCAAAATTTCAGGGTCTGCAAACAGCACAGCTCACACGCTGCCGATCCGCTGTCAGTGGGAATAAATGGAAATTAATGGTACCTCCCCACCCTTCACCCCTCACCCCCAAGCGGATACCCTCGTCAGCAACTCGGAGTTATGTAATAAAACGTCAAGTGTGTTTTGTGAAATTAGTGGAAAAACGTACGTATATGATACGGTGAAGTGAATTATCTTCTGTTAATTCATTGTTGGGCAAGTTATTAATGTTGTTAAATTAAATTAACAAACTTCCAAAAGGTGTTTTAATTTCTAATATTTTACTAGCTGTCCCGGCAAACGTTGTTTTACCATATAGATAGATAGATAGATAAGTTCTTTATTCAACAATTACAAACACATAGCATACATGAGATACATTTTATAAATAGAAATAAAGTTTACAAATTAAATAATACAGAAATATAATATTACAAAATAAAATAAAAATGGAGGTGGCTTTATGTGTCGCAATGATGAAGAGGCAACCAACTCAGCATGAAGCTACAGATAAGTCTGCAGCGCTGATATTCAGTTGGCTCCTATAATTAAATACATACTTACATACATATATACGTGAATTTTTATATATTACACTTCGAGCTCTTAAAAAATTATACTATTACAAAACATTATACAATATATAAATAGATTAAAAATGAAGTGGTGTGTTATGTTATACATATATTGTTAACCTATAGATACATACTACGTACATAAATAATAGTTGTTGTTAGCATATATAAGGTCGCTGGCTAAACGCGCCGCGGGCATTCCGCTGACCGACGCGCTAGCGAACGCACGTATGTGCTCGCTAGTCCCGCCGCCGTCTCGCTGTTCTCTGCTCCCTCGAGCAAACCACCGCGCGCGCGCACGTAGCGCAGTTACGTTCGCGCGTTCTTATTCATATACTTCGCCGCGTGTTAGGTGCACTCGGTGCACCTAGCGTGGCCCGGGGCCTCCGTGTCCCGCGCCGACCGCGGCCGACCGCGCTCTCGGCATCCGTTCCGACACAGTGCTACCGGACTTTCCGCGTGTGTAGTGTTGTGTTGTGAGGACTGAAGGAGAAACTCTCTTCGTTCAAGTGAAGTGAAGTGTTGTGTGTGGACGTTCAGTGGCACGGACTGTCGTGAGTTAGGGAGGTGCGTCACGCCTATTGCGCGACGCGCCGATCCGAGCCGCCGCCGCTGCCACCAACACCCGCCGACGCCTGCTGCCTGCCGCCCGCCGCCGACGCCACCAAGTAGGTTCGCTTAGGTACACATTTTTCACTCAATAAGATTAGTGTTCTTACATATTAGGGTCACATATCAATAGGCACTCACCCCCCTGCCTCACCCGGCAGGGAGGCCCCCGCTGACACCGTCGGCTGCACCCGCCGACGACCGTCCTTATCTTAAGTACTGACTTACCCTATTGTTTCATTGTATTGTATTGTTATTGTATTGTTTTATATTACTATTTCTACTCTTATTCTATTCTTTTGAACAGTGGTAATTAACATTACCACTGTTCAAAAAAAATGTCCTTATCAGAGGCCGATATGCCTCTGTTCTTCCAGTTCCTGGAAAAAAAGTGTCCCGGCATCTTAAATGCTTTTATAGCATTCAAAGCCGCCAAGCCCGTCCACTTAGTGTACAGCTCGCCCCCCGCGTCCCCAATGATGACTCACACTGACGAACCGAACACTGACACTGACGAATTCGAGGACGACTCGCAACGGCTCCCGCCGCTTCCCCCGACCCAAGCCGACCAGGCCGAACCCGCCTCGCCCGCCATGGAGCAGGACGACTCCGTCGCGGAGCTTGACGCTCCTAGTATGGAGCTCGACACCATCCGCGACGGCGACGTCCCCTCTCCCATCCCCCCCGGTCTCCTCAGACGAGGACGATTTTATTCTTGTTGGCAACAAGCGTGCCAAGAAGACCCAGGGCTCCCAGCCAGCCAAAACAAAGCGTGCCCATGACGGCACCGCTAAAACTGCCCCCGGTCCGAGTGCACGCAAGTCGCACCCCGAGACCAAAGCCCCGCCCCCCGTCATCATCCAGGACAAAAGTGCCTGGAACACCGTATCCAATATGCTTAAAAACAAGCATACCAATTTCAGCCATGCTAAGGCTACCTCAATAGGGATCAAGGTATCAGTCCCATCATCTGACGACCATCGTCGTCTCACCACCTTCCTGCGGGAGAAAAACATAGGTTATCACACCTATGCTCTCGAGGAAGAGAAAAAGCTCCGCGTTGTAATACGCGGTTTACCCAAGGAGCTCTCAACAGACTCCATCCTTGAGGACCTTCAGTCCCAGAATTACCCAGCGCACGAGGTACATCGTATGTACCAGTCGCGCTCACGCAACAAGGCCGCTATCGACCTTGTTCTAGTCGTATTAGATTTATCCCCAGAAGGCAAATCGATCTTTGATATAAAGAGCGTTTGCCAACTATCCTCGCTCTCCGTAGAGGCGCCTCGCAAGCGTACCTACCCCGGACAATGCCACCGTTGTCAGAACTACGGGCACTCTGCCCGTAATTGTTTCGCTCGCCCACGGTGCGTCAAGTGCCTAGGCGATCACGCCACCGCAGATTGCGGCCGTAGGCCCAACACCCCCACGCCCCCAGTTGCACCCTCTGCCTCACAGAGGGTCACACCGCGAATTACCGCGGTTGTTCACGCGCCCCACGTCCCGC